CACCCACACCCACACCCACACCCACACCCACACCCACACCCACACCCTCTTTTCGAAGATGACGATCATAGATGTACTAGTCATACATATCATAGATGTATGTTTGCCTAACTATTGCCGGGTTTGTCCACTGTACAATTCAACAGAATATGGAGGGTATTCCTGGTCGCGCATGGGCGAAATTCTGCAGTTGGTGCGCTTCGGTGGGCCAAACGTGTTCAAGAAGGTCAATTTATTTTCTCGTTTCAAAAAAAACAATTACATCTTCTTTTTTACAATGTCAACGTTTCTTTTCGACTGTGCAATATCCAGATGATTTGGGGGCAGTGATTTCTGTCGTATCTCGAGTCCTTTTTGCAGAAATGAAAGTGCTTTCGAGTACTCGCCCATGTTATTATACACCATACCGATGTTGTTGTAGGAAGTAGCCAAGTCAGGATGATTGAGAGGGAGAGCTATTTTTTGGATTTCAAGTGATCGTTCATACGATGAAAGTGCTTTCGAGTACTCGCCCATGTCATTATACACCAAGCCGATGTTGTTGTAGTCAGTAGCTAAGTCGGGATGATTTGGGGGGAGAGCTATTTTTCGAATCTCAAGTGATCGTTCATACAATGAAAGTGCTTTCGGGTACTCGCCCATATCATCATATGCGAAACCAAGTTTATGATTGTAGTCTGCTCTCTCTTTATCAGAAGATGCCTTTTGGAGAAGTATGTTGTAGAGTTTTTCAGCTTTTGCAGGCTCACCCACTTTAAGAAGTATGAAAGCTAGTTGAGACAATCCTCGCACTGGTGCTTTCAAGTTGATCTCTTCGCGTACGTGTGCTGTAAGTGTGTTTAATTCATGATTATCATTACCCACAAGGGTAAGATTAACTTTCCATAGACGATCAGTATGATCGTCATGAATTTGTTGAATTTTATCGATTCGAAAAATTGTATGTGTTGTAAAAAGAATTTCGGCTTCTTGGCCTTCGAAAAAGCTAACTTGACTAACATCAGCAAATGGAATTTTTGATTTTGTACATACATTAGGATCAATAGTCATAATGAAGAGGATGCCAACTTTATTGGGATTATTAAGAGCTGCTGGTCGTGCAAATTTTTGAAAGGAAATATATTTATTGAGATTTGTTGATAGAAAATTATTGAAAGACATTAATTGACCTTTGCTTTTTATCATTTTTTCAAAGTCTTCTAACGCTAAACCTTGACCACGATAAACTTTGAACGGAGTAGCTGTGTTTATGTTCTCAGATTGTTGCTTATGATATAAATTTTGAATGTCTTGATGTAAACGACGAATAAAAAAGCCCATGTTGAGTATAATATCAATATCCATAAGTCGAAGTCCACGATTAAGCATAGAATAAATAAATGTTTCGGCTGTATACCACCAAATTGGTGTATGTTTACGATATTCACGTTCGATTAGTATAATTTGATCTTCAGATATATCTTCTTGTTCACGACAATATGCAACAAGTTTTTTAATAGATTTTCTATCATCATCTTCGATTTCTAAAAGTGTTTGTTTTAACAATTGTGTATACATAAATAATGGATCAATTGTATTGAAACTGATTGAAAGCATAGCTTGATCACATCGTTGTCGATCAATTTCTAGGGCTTTACAAATTGGTTTGATCTTTGTGTATACGCCTTTAATCTTCGATACTTTATTTGCCCATTGTTCATGATAAGATTGATTACTACAAAAAACATACATCGATTCTAATAGTGACATGGCTTCCATTTCTGGTGCTATTTTTTGTCCAAGTGAACCCGACACGATCATAAATGCCTTCTCCTTTGTAATACCACTAAGATAATCAAAACATTCTTGAGCATCCGTGAATGTTGTAATGGATGCCACAATTTTTCGAAGATGTTGTAATGAGTTTTTGAAGTCTTCTTTCGTCTCATCAATATTTGCATCCAACCAGACGAGAAGAAAATTTTGTATAATCCGACGAGCAGATTGAGGAAGTGCAGCACTTCTGCCCATCGTTGCTGTTGATACTGATGCTGCTACTGTTGTTTCTGGTTTCTTAGATTTATTTGCAGTAGATGATGCAGACGACCCACTAGCAGTTGATTTGAAATGTTGTTTTTCGTCCATTTCAATGACGTCGTGTTTTTCTTAAATGAATAAATAGATAAAAATATAAATACTTGTTCGATGGCGATGTAAAGAAAGAATGGACAAAAACAGAGTTCATCTCTCTCTCTAGATATTTTTTATTTTGGTTTTTTTCCTCTTTCGTGTTGACACTTTTTATCTTTTGGTTCGTTATTGCTATTACTATAGAAGACTCAAAGGATTTCTCATCTCAATCTTTTGTTCGGTCGTTTCTGTTTTTTATTTCACGGCTTTTGTTACTGACGAAACGACAATGACGAAACATGTGATAAACGAAAACTCTGTGCATCTGGCATGATAACAAAGAATCCGTCCAAAAAAAAATGAATAATTGCACTATCCCAGGTCAAAACTGCACGGCAGGAAACGGTCGGATTCTGTGAAATTCCGGCCAATTCCTGGAAGCAGTGTTCCAAAATCGGATCCGGCTTCCGGATCCGGCTTAGTTCCCGCTAATTCCTGCACCTGGGTGCAATGTTCAGATCCGGTTGTTGATTCAAGTGCGGTTCCGGACCAAGTTTCTCGTCTTATAGCATGCTAGCCGCATCCGAGTTGTATACCTGCCGTCTCCGGGACATTTCCGAACTATGATTCCGGTGTTTCTTCCCAACGGGAGGAGCCGGTTATAAGGCACCTGTTTCCATTCCATTTACAAAGTCTACATCCAGCCGTATTAAAGACCTTTGAAAGATATTTCGAAGATCTTCCAAAGACTTTCAAAGATCTCTCAAAGGCTTTACAAGACTTTGAAAAATCTTTGAAAGATCTTAGAGAGATCTTTCAAAAACTTTGAGAGATCTTTCACAGACTTTCAGAGACTTTCAAAGACTTTACAGGACTTTCAAAGATCTTTGAAAGATCTTAGAGAGGCTAGTTTTATCTTCGACATTTTTTCGATGGGCTATTTGCTTTTCGCCAATTTTTTCTTCGCCATTTTTTTTCTCGAGATTATTTTTTTCTCCATTTCTTTTTCGCTGTTTTTTCTCGCTATTCTTTCGTTCACTATTTCTTCTTTCAGTCAATTTAATGCCATTCCTATCATATTTCAAATTTGTTGTTTTGGGGCATTTCTCTTTACGTATGTGGAACGGCCGTGAGAGATATTGCTTCTCCCTTTTTCTGTCTCCTCATTCTTTACGATCTATTCACATTGAATATAATTATATGAATGAGTTCCTCTAGTTATGAGAAACATGTTTAGTGAGAGGAATTTCGTCGAAAGCTGATTAATTCAAATTTTGAAACTAATTCTTTGTCCAGAAATAAATTTGCTGTCAAAGTCTTTGAAAGACTTGAGAAATCGGACGCGTAATGTGTAAGGACAGACAGTGGCGTATCCAGAATTTTTAGACCAATGAGCAAACTTCTCTAGTGTTGGAAAAAAATGATGGGCAAAATGGGCGAGGCTTTTATCGATAGGTCAGAAATTTTCTTGGCACGAAAAGTACTAATAACGTAAAAAAAACCACAAAAAATGAGGTTCTTTTAACGAGATATGCATCAAACTCGAAGCTCAACTCTAAGTCGGATGTGCTTTGGATATTTTTAAGAGAGAGTCCGCGAGAGAAGACCCCTACTCAATGCAAAGGTCGCCGGAGAAAAAAATATTTCGATTTTTTTATCTCAAACGAGAGGTCTAGGCAAACCGTAAACAAATCCAAAATATTAAGTCATTTGGGTTTATGTATGAAAAATGCGAGCTGAAACAAGTTTAAGAAGATCATTTTTGACCTCAAAACTGCTATTCTGAGGGTATGTTCAGTATTTTGACATTATCTAACGAACGGCTCGACTGTTTGAATTCAGAAACGTCTCATTTTATAGAGAACAGTTTAGGCTACAACTTTATCCGATTCAAGTCCTAGACATATAAGCTGATAAAAACGCGAGAAATGGCTTGTTCCGGATGGTCGGTATTTTGGAGTTTTCTCTCGTACTGTACATGGTCTTAGAGTTCTTTTTTCACCAGACAAAGATTTCACCAAGATACATCTTTTGACACTAAATTGTCAAGGTCAAAAGGCCGGGTGGGGACCAAGTTAGCATGGACTACACTGTGAGTTACCCTATCTACTGACCATAGGGCATACCTCTTACAAATTTCTCTAGAAATCATGAAAACTGACTTCAGATTCGTGTTCAGCTCGCAAAATTGGGTCAAATAGGTTATTTTGAAAAGATCTCTTACTTCTATCAAGCGTGATTGAGATCATGAGTTCCGTTATGGACATATGATACACCTCCGGACAAAAGTCTTTCCCCCTCTGTGTTTTTATGCTATCATACTTTGCATAAAATTTATTGCCAAGATATAACATGAGAGTTTTATTGCAGTATGGTGTACAGATCACACTGTAATAAAACTCTCATGTTATATCTTTACTTGGCAATAAATTTCATGCAAAGTATGGTAGTATAAAAACACAGAGGAGGAAGACTTTTGTACAAGGGTGTACATCGATTCCTACTAAAGTATTTCAAACAACATGAGGTATCAATAACAAAGTTTTATTACTATGTAGTTTATTAGCAACTATACCCGACGTAAGATGTTCTATACTTCTCAATTGTTTATTATTTGAGCCTTGTTTATAAAGAAGCTATTGTTGGCTTTCACCAGCTTTGTTAAAATTGCAAAGATGCTTATATTCTATCTACTCTACAATTGGCTGAATATTTCACTTATCAGCATACAACATTTTACGTTGAATATAGTTGCAAATAAACTACATAGTAATAAAACCTTGTTATTGATACCTCATGTTGTTTGAAATACTTTAATAGAAATCGATGTAAGAGTAAAAAATCTGATATAGAGTTCTTCTAACAAACTGGATATAAAAAAAAACAATCAATAATTCTCTTTCTTATTAGGATATACAGTTGAAACAATAACCATTCATTAGCACTATCTATATACTATAACTGGTAAAAAAATTCACATTTTTCCGATAAGTGCTACCAGCTACATGAGCAAATAAATCTTAGGACATCAAGCTGATTGGTCACCTCCATATGCTTGTATGCATTTTGTTTCTCTTCTATTTCATCTATTCTTTTCTACCTTTATATGGTTAGTATTTTCTCCAGAAAATTGAACTTACGTTCGCCCATACTTACGGTTAAAATACAAGAAGCGATTCTTTTCTTCTTCTTTTCTTAATTCTTTACGGAAAGAAGAAGCATAGAGTGCAGATGTGATTTAGACAGAAGAAAAGAAATACAAACAGTATTCAGTCCAAAAATAAATATACAATTCTGAAAATATAAAATTTCAATGGGCAAATCTTCAAATGAAATGGGCAATTGCCTATTTGTCCCTCCCTTCGCTACGCCACTGTTTCCATCTCCTCTAACGTAAAATTATTCTGAATGTCCAGCTGTTGTTTTTCATCATAATCATCCATATTTTCGTCTTCATCGGTTGATTCTTTTTCATCAGAGCTGTTTTCTTCATTCATGACTTCATTATATTCATCAGAAAAAAAAGACTTTGATAAGTATATAGTTCATTAAAGTAGCTATCTTTAAATGTTTTTAAAATTTCGAATAATTGTTATGAAGCGAAAATTTCATCGGTACGTATTACTGAATCTTCAAACGAAAATTCCTTTTACGTTAAATGGAGCAGATGTTTCGCAATGTTCAACAAATTCATCTTTTAATGGACGAAGCTAATCGTTTCAAGTGTTAGTCGTGGTTTAAAATAAGAACGAATGTTACTACAAATGCATATATGATTGATAGTTACAAATACCAGTTGCAATCGAAAATATAATAAATTATAAAGCAAAGCATCAATGCACTTGATTTTAGAAATTCACTATCTAGATATCGGATAATTATATTTAAGAAATGATGTGACGACTTTGTCTATAATCATGTTTCTATACATCCCTAGTAATGCATAACTTAAAAATTGAATGTCTCTGCCTAGGTATTCCATACGCAGCTCATATTTGAAATTCGTTAGTTTCTCGTTGAAAGCTTTCTTTTGATTCGAATATAGTCAACCTTTTCGCTCAACAGTTCCCCCCCCCCCCCTCCATTGTAAACCACCTGACGTGACCCTTGAGCAAGGTCGAAGTCGATCATGGTAGCTTCTATACACCCACATCCGAAAAATGGAAAAGTTTTTTTTTGTCAAGCCCAACAAACTCAAGAGGTATAAATACATCGAAAACTACGACTAACGAAACATTCCTTGTGCATACAAAAGAACGTTGTCGTTTTATCTTTTATTGATAACGTTTTTTCGTGTTTGTATATTTTGACAGAGCATCTCTCATACTTGCATGATGTTTGCGATGGATAAATTTTATTTCTTCATGTTTTTCGTTAGACGAGTAACAGAGAGCCATTGTAGTGTATCTCTTCACTTTTTCTTCGTAAAAATTCTGTCTCTTGTGGTCCTATTCAAAAAATATGTTCTTTCTGAAGGCGACGATGTGTTATAAGATAGGCTCTCTGGAATAATCGATCGTGTAACTTGATATTTCCACAAACTTTAGATTGAAAGATATTTCAAGTGTATAATGCTACTCTAATCATCCTTTTTCCTGCAAGATCTCTTTGATTATATCCAATTTGATGTATTGTCTTCGAAGAACACGGCATATTTTCTCTTAATAAGACAACTGAGTTCATTATTTACATGATAGTTTTGAAAGAACAGTAAATCAGAGGCTGCTTAAGTGAGATGAAGACCTGGTTCTGTAAGTCAATGAAATGACACGCCGAGTGTGAATTAGGATTGGAGCGTAACTTTGATGAATTGTAGAATATAAGACACTAGCAACTGTTTGGATAGTCGCTATGGATCGTCAGGCATCCTCATTGATCAACTCTCGATCATCTATTCAATGGGTATGGAAATCAAATGGAAACAATGATCCAATGTCGAATATGAAAGAATGGTGCCATTACTCTGATATAGAAAATGAAATAATCGAGGAAGCATTCACTGCGAAAGAGACTCA